ATTTATTTTCAAACCATAAATATTTATTTTTCAAAATAAATATTAAATGTGTCAGATTTTAAATTCATCTATTTCATATTAATTAGATTATTTTATAACTTACAACTACTTTTTAATTAATAAATTATACACAGAATTTCTTCTAAAATCTTCTCTAATTCGCTTTGCTGATATTTTGTGGTCACTTCCAATAAGTCCTCTTTGGTAAGCATTAACATCTAAAAGTTTTCTTCTTGGTATATGTTTTAAAGCATTCACCCAATTATTGTCAATTTTTAAGTCTGCCATAATCATAATCATCTAAAAAAAAATTGTTAATATTTATAAATACAATGTACAAGAGTAAAGAATTTAATCAATTGTATATTGATAAATCATGAATGTTTATTTAATAAAAGGTTTAAAATGTAAATATACTTCCAAATCCTTTTAGTAAATAAATCTTAATAATATAGGTTAACAATAGTTAACATACTTGATTAATAGTTAAATTTTTGGTTCCTTGTTTCCAATCTAAATATAAATCAAGTGSTAATTTGGCCATTCTTATTTTATCTCGTTTCCCCTTAGCTAATGATAAAGGCTCAACTTTCATCTTATCAACCATTGCACCTAAAAAATTAAAACATTGAAATTCAGCATAATAATAATTTTTATTTATTTACAAACAAATTTTTTTTTTGTAGTAAAACTTTAAACTTACCAATTATATATACATCATCATGATTGTATTCTTTAAGTTCTTCATTACAATGAGGAGTCAAATACACAAGCTTCTCTCTTGGATAAAGATCTAAGTAACTTTTTTTGGTATAATTTAAAGGGAACGTAGGGTCATCAATAGTTGGTATTGTTTTAGATAAACATTTGAATACTGTACCTTCTCTATCAACATTACAAAATATAATATTAAAAGGATCTTTATGGGTACGATTGTAGGACCACATTAACAGTAATTGTTTAGCACAATTTGTTTGTTCCTTCAGAGACATGTGCCCATCATAACTACAATCAATTAATATGTCTTGTCCATACAACATAGCTTCACATAAACGGTAATTATAAAGAGAATTCATTTGCTTTTCATAAATTCTATGAAACATACTATTTCTCAATAATCCGTACTCAATGTGATTATTTTTTGGTTCATTTTCATATCGCTCTAAGCGTTCAGCTCTTTTTTCTAATTTGCGCACAATACGGTTTTCTTTTTTTTTTTCAATCAAAAACAAGTATYTTAAGTGTTTCATTCGTGATGACCTGCTACTTAATTGTAGTAAGCTTTGCCATTGATCTACTCTGAGGCGGCTTGGTATTTGTTCTCCACTCTCATACAGTAAATCAATCTCTAAGATTAGACGCTTTAATTTTGACAATGTTTCTTCATCACCTCCAGTAATTGAATCATAATCTATATCATCAAATGGTTTTGGTGTACTTGGTTCATGATTTAATGTATCGGAAGGATCTTTTGGTTTAATACAATAATAACGATTTGCACTAGTTACTGGTACACACAGTTTTAATGAAGTAGAGTATTTTGATCCTTCAACTAAACTTTTAGTATGATATCCCAACTTACTTAATATTCGAAGTCCACATCTGGATATTAACATTTTAAAATATAATTTAGAATTAGTTGAAAATTATTTTCAACAATATATTTAAATACGAATATTTAATAATTAACAAATATTTTTTTATGACTTGAGTGTATACCGTAAAAAACTTAAAACAAATATTATACTTAAAAATTTAAAACCACAAATAATTTAAATTTCAAAACTAARCCATAACATAATTTCATAACCCTTAAAATCAGATTACATTTTTACAAATGTATGATAATGTTATCACTAGTTTTCATTTATAGCCGTAGTAATAATATTATCATTTATAATTTATATTATGTATATTTAAATTATCTATATAATCCTTTAGGGCATACAGTATTTTATTTTATATTTTATTGTTTGTTTTAGGTTTATTATTACAATAAAAATGCACAAGCATATTCTCTTTTTTTTGTTCAAAGAACACAGGCCATAKACATATTAATGTAATAGATCTATTTATACTATTTGTTGAATGTTATACCAAAATGACCGGGGGTACTTTAAATTTTTAGACTATACCAATACACAATACATTATTATATTTCATACACAAAATGATACTATCAAATTTTTTCGGTAAAAATGAATTTTACCTACTGCAGTTGGAAGTACTTATGAATAGTAAAATAAATTATACAATCACATTAATATGTTCAATTATACCTAGGAATATTATAGGCTGACAGACAGGATTTTTTTTTGTCTACAATGGTTTTATATTATTAATATATCTCTTTCAGTGACTTATAAACTTTATACTTATACAGTTATACACCTAATTTAGTATTGAACATTTCTCACTTTAACCTGTTTTTTAGATTAAAATAGGTACCTAAGTGCTCCGAATATTATTCTGCTTAGGAATGTGGAATTTTATTTTGTGAATGACTCTTTAATTTTATCTGATTCAAAGCAAAATAAAATGTATGGTGTCATTCAAAAATATAAAAACAAAATAAATATACCCAAAAAGTTGGAAACTTTTTGAATTAATTAGCGTAGACACTTAGATCACCTGGTATGAATATTTTCGTATTGTCTGTGGTAATAACTAATAAATAAAGTATTAAATATTAATCAATTATTTGAATTGTCAAAAATTATATATATATATAACCTATAATGAATTGTAATACCACAGAATAATAACTATTAGTTATTTAATAATGTTTAATACAATATTGACCATTAATATGATAATGCGAAAAACTATAATAAAAAATATATTGCACTACATACTAAATTAATATAAGTTCTTAAATAAACTTTTTTGCTCACTGTAGCAAATATGCTAAATACATGAATGGTACAATATTATAAATTCACAATTGATACAAATTAAAATTTATGCAATGTAACTTAGGAACAAACTGAGTAATATTATGACAAAAGCAACAGTAATATTCTCTAAATTTAATTTAAGTACCTTGTGTTAGAACTAAGAAATGTGATATTCATCTTAAATATTAACTATGCTTCAATAATACTTAAGAAAAATTACTTCTACTCTTATGCTTTCCATTTGTTTTGTACAACAACTTGATATTTCTCAAAAATTTAAAATACTATCTAAAACTATGACTGTTTTTAATTATAATTTCATATTTTAAAATATCCCATATTCATTAGAAACATAATTAATTAAGACATT